CATTTTGGGCTTTTTGGGGTATTTTGGAAATATGTAACACGTATTTTTTATTTTCGCAAAAAAAAATCTAGGAAACATGGGAACCGTTAGGAAGCACAGTGAAAAGGAGAGTGTTTTAAATACCGACTCAAAGTAAGAATCTCTCACTCTTTTTTTCTGTTACAATAAATTAAAGTTTAATAATTAATAACGATGTATTTTTGTAAAAATTAGATATCCCTAAATTAATTATAGGTTACCAATGAAGTCAGAACCGATCAGTGTATAATTTTTCTAGCTCTGTCGTCTATTTATTACTATACTGCTTAAATTGCTATTGTTTATTGATTTTAATCATTTTCTCGTTTATTGATTATTTGGTTGTCATTCTCACCTATTGACTGATTCGAAGTAAATGTCCTAATTATGTTTTCTTGATTGTTTATATTATCTATTTGCATGTTGTATTACTAATCTGTAAATATGAAACGGTTGTATGTAATTGGTGACTGGTTAATGATGTGGAGATGTTTATAAAAGGCTTATTAGGTATCTTGAAAAATGGTGTACAGATCTGGTACATAGGAAAAATCCTACCGTAGACATTACCTCAGTCGAACGAGACTGAGAAGTCGTATACCAAAAGAAGTTAGGAGGTATTAGTTCACCCTCATACCAGATAGGGTATTAAGACGATGGTATGTTTGGCGTCCATTACCGGACGGGGTATGAGAACGACAGGTTAATTAATAAATTGGATATTAGGTCCACGCGTAGGGGGAGTCCTTATGGACACCAGAGGTACTGGTAAGCAGGTGAAAATGTAAGTTTACTGTTAGTGTTTCCTTTAAATGTGTAATAAATTGCTATCATGGCTACTGCCTTCATGAGTCGGTTTTAGAAACTTTAAAAGGGTAGGTATAAAAGTCACGTTTTGTATTAAATGAATTTATTTAAGAAAGAAAATGACTTCATTGGTTATTTTAAATGATTTTTATTAACCTTTGGTTTTCTGTATCGGTATTAAAGTGTTCTTTACTGGGTTAGTATAACTCATCTTTTTTTATTTAACTATTTAATATTAGGAAAACTAGATTTAAATCCTGAAGTAGCAAGAAAAATTACAACCAAAATATTTTGCTTTCCACATTTCC